TGGCACCCGTGCCATAGGTTCGCCACCACTGCTATAGAATCCTGCCACTTGCTTCTTGTCTTTATTCCCCTTATTAAAACAAACTGCTGAATTCCAAGTTGTCTGGCGTGATTCTCGGTCATCCCGAAGGTCATAGTTGTGTCTAAAGTGCTTTTTCAAAAAGCAACTTTCCTTCAGGAAGAAGAAGAACAAGATGTTTCGTTTCTCATCCAAGAAGCTTCATCATGAAATCCAACTGGTTCTTAATTTGGAAAAAAAATATATAACAAGTACTTTGAGAAAATGACCCATGGTTTAGCAAAGGAGCAGGACAAAGTCTGATCCAATAGAAAGAGGAAGATAGATGAACCAAATTTGGGTGCCTGGAATCTGATCTTGCATTAATAAATTGTACTGTGCAACTGCCAAACATATTCCAAGAACAACAGAAGAGCAGGATGCATACTTAACTGGCTCATTTGTATGGTTAGAACAACACAGCTCTGAGCAAGCCTATGCGTGGTCATGATTTATCGTGTCAGGATGATAGGACAGAGACAGGAAAAGGCCCAGCCAATCTCTTGTTTTTATATTCTGATTCAATTAAATGTGCATAAAAATGTTTACAGAAAAAAAAACACTGAATAAACTGTCTATTAAGAGCAGAACTAAAACATATAAAGGTATTTCAAATGTATGTTTGAAATGTGACCAAGATGAGACTTTATTGATTCAGAAGATCTTAAGGACTAATATACAATTGAAACCAGATATATTCCTTTTGGGAATGATGGACAAACAGTTGGGGAAAAAAAAACCTCGTGAAATTTTTTTTTATATATGCAAAAGAACTTCACTATACATGACGTTCCAATTAAACTGATTTATTATTACTCATGAAATGCACAGGAATCAACTGATGCTTAGCACTATTTTGGCACTAGATAAGAGTTAACAGAATTCAAGAAAGGTTAACTTAGTCCATTTGTGACTATATAATAACTCTAGACTGATTCCTCTTTTGACTCTGCCTCCAGATTCTGGCACTCCTTTTCCTAAAATACAGTATGTAACGACAGTCAGACTTTTATATGCACAATGGTGGAAAGATTTAACATTACCCTACAATGCAAGAACAGATGATGAAGTTGATGGAGCTGCTGATTTTTGAAAGGCAAAATTGACAGCTTTAATTAGAGAAAATATATTGATTATTTTTAATGCTGATTGGAAGTCCCTTCTAATTTTTTTCATAAAATGAAAAAATGTGAATGTATGTTGTATGGATTTGATTATTAAAAATAGTAGATAATAGAAAAATGAATGTTAAATTGTAAACCTAGAGTAAAATCTTAATGTAAATGTATACTTATATAAGTTGTAAAAGAAAATCAGAAGTAATTTTTTTGTGTTTTTTCTTTCTTTTTCTTTCTTTGGCTTTGTTTTCTTTTTTCATTCTTTTTTTTTTCTCCCTTCTATCTCAAATATTAGTTGTTAGTTTTTGCCTCTTTATTTTAAAATTTGAATCAAGTTATTTTTAAAAAAAGAAGTTGCTGCTTGGTGAAGACAGACAGTTGCTGATGCTTGACACATATATTTATGGCACATTCCCAAAAGGAACACAGGGATAAAATACAAAACATAGAGTATAAAACCTGAAGATGAAAAAACAGCAGATGCCCTCTGTAAGTGGGGCAAAATACTATCACCGAATTGTGAGTGTGGGTCCAAAAACAACCTATCCAAAACATGTGTCAAAACAGAGCCTACAATGTAGATTTTGTTGATTTCCTGGCTGGGACAAATGAAGTAAAGTATATTTTTAAATATATTTATTATTTATTTATATGTGTGGTGGCACAGTGGTTAGTGTGCAGTATTGCAGTCTAATTCTGCTGACTGTCAGGAGTTCGATCCTCATCGGCTCAAGGTTGACTCAGCCTTCCATCCTTCCGAGGTTGGTAAAATGAGGACCCAGATTGTTGAGGGCGATATGCTGACTTTGTGAACTGCTTAGACTTAGAGAGTGCTGTAAAGCACTTTGAAGTGATATATAACTCTAAGTGCTATTGCTATAAAAAAGTATATCTGCAACTTAAATATCCGCTTGTAATCTTCCTGTTAAGATTTCAGATGCTTGACAATCACATCTTAATAATGAAGGACCTTATGATGGCTTGTGATGTCGGCACATCCTGGAATCTCCTAGGATCAGGATGCTCCTGACTTGGCTACCTCCCTAACAATTTTAGGATTTAAGCGGCCCTAAAAGAGTGCTTACAGCCATTGAAATGATAAAGGGAATTGTTGCAAGTCAACAGGAAGGTTGGAGTGACATTTAGAAAGATACTTAAGACCAAACAGTGGTTGTTAGTAAGGATAAGCCTTCGCTTTTCTATCATTTTACAATTGTTTATTATCAAATGTGGTTTGACTGTATATACACCTTTTTTTTCTTTTAAAAGGCCATGGTTTTCCCAGTTGCAATGTATGGCTGTGAAAGTTGGACCATAAGAAAGGCTGAGCGCAAAAGAATTGAGAAGACTCCTGCGTGTCCCCTGGACTGCAAGGCGATCAAACCGGTCAGTCCTAGAGGAGATCAACCCTGACTGCTTTTTAGAAGGCCAGATCCTGAAGTTGAAACTCAAGTACTTTGGCCACCTAATGAGAAGGAAGGACTCACTGGAGAAGAGCCTAATGCTGGGAAAGATTGAGGGCAATAAAAGAAGGGGACGACAAAATGAGGTGGCTGGATGGAGTCACTGAAGCAGTAGGCGTGAGCTTAAATGGACTCTAGAAGATGGTAGAGGACAGGAAAGCCTGGAGGAACGTTGTCCATGGGGTCCCAATAGGTCGGACATGACATCGCAACTAACAACAACAACAATCCCTTGCATCTGGGTGGAGTCAGGACAACTGAACGGAGCTGAACATTTACTGGCCGGATGCCTTTCCTGCCACCTACACAGAGCTCACAGCAGATAGTTTCTCTTTGCATCCAGAAAGAGAAATATCTGCCACTACCTAGGATCAAACTCATAGCTTCCTGATTGTGCAGCAAGAGTTCCACTTCTAGCCCATTGTATACATTCTGACTGTATATACAATAATACGACCAAACTAATTACACAGTGTCATAGCTAAATACAATATATGGGCACAGTGATCTCTGTCTGAGCTCACCCAGTTGAGTTACAGTACCTGGACAATCTAAACTTCCTAAATCACTGTCATGGTTGTACTGGAACTGCAGCAGCCCATGGAAACTTTTCCATATGGTGAGGCAATATTTTCTCAGGCACACTTTATCCTCTTCAAATATTTACTTATGACAAGTTCAATTTTCCCTACTGAGACTGGATTAAGAGCTTTGAAGTTGGAAGCAGCAAGGTTAAAGGAAGATTATTTTAGGAGCAAATGCAGCTGTAAAATATCATTCATGGAACACATGCAAGCAGGGAAGTTGTATTTTTTGAAGTTTTCTGTCATATCAAAATGTTGACATTTTGACACTGAGAGTTTGCTTTGCCCCCAAAAGAGACCATACGAGTAAGTTAATTTCCATTTGTGTTTCTATCAATGCAATCTGAAGGCACAGGAGCTCTTGTTAAGCTTGGTTTACAGATTTTTTTTAAAAAAGGTTTTCTCTGGGTTAATACAGATAATTTCCCATATGTATAATATCCATATTAAAGAAAAGATGTGGACCCACCTTTTTTATGATATACAGCTTTGGGACAGCTGGAAATGAAATCCAGCTCTTACGCAGCCAAAAATGCAGGGTAAAGCCAACAACATTTTTTCCCTGTTTATACCTAAGCATTAACATTTGCCCACCTTTCAGCAGCTAAGCTATGTGCACACACCTCCTTAGGAAACGGCCATCTTGCAAAATAAATTTTGGCAGAAATCGGTAGACAGCTGAATTGGAACTTGAGAACTCTTATGGGGTATATGGCTTTGCTAAATTAATATTAAGGGAAATAATGATATGGAAACCCTATCCATAAAGACTTCTTTCTATCTAGATGCACCATTTTCTAGTCCCAAATGAAATGGGCTTATTTAAGGTGGACATTATGACACATACTAGCCTTCTCTGACCTTGGGAGTCAAACTGTGTTGGAAGTATTATAAGACCCTCCAGTCCTTTGGACCCCCTATATCAGTGGTGGCGAACCTATGGCACTGGTACCAAAGGTGGCACTCAGAGCCCTCTCTGTCGGCATGTGCACCGTCGACCCAGCCCTGTCTCCCCCCTGTGGCCCTCTCCTCCTCACCAGCAGCCATCCCAGAGGAGAGTTGCCCACCCCGAGCACAGAGCAGCACGGCCAAGGGCATGGCAGCCCCGCAGTGGGGACAAGATTCTGCCCTCGCGCCGTCACTCACAGATGATGCTGCAGGGCATGGGCAGAGGGTGTGGCTGCCATGGCGCTGCTGGGCTGTCATGGAGATCTGCAGTGGGCCATGGAGGCGGTGGGTGGCCATGCAGGTGGATGGGGCACAGAGCGGGGGGATGGACAGGGAGGTGGGGACGGTTTTTGGACACTAAAAGGTTCGCCATCACTGCCCTATATAATTTAGCCCCAGGCTGAGGAAGACTGGCCTCCAAATGAGGCAAAATGGGGAGATCCCCCACCCATCATTCATTCTCCCCCCTTCATCCTTTCTATCTGGAAAAGTCCTTGTTTGGCAGGAAGTAATCAAGGGAGAGCAGAGAACCTGTATGAAAGTTTCTCGAAAAGAACGGCAGTTTAAAATATATCCTGGGGGGGAAAAGCATGAATACATCAAGCCAGAGGGGAAGATTTGAGAACATCTTCCCTAGCAAATTTCAGCACTTCTCACGGGACTCGCTGCCAAATCAATCTAACGTACAATTCAGGAACGGGAAAACGCATATTAATTTCTGGAAAGGTTGTCTTAATTATAGTCGCTAGAGGCGGCTCTCGGGCCAAAAGCTGGAGCAAGGGAGGGGAAGGAAGGGGGACGTCCCTTTCCCTTTTCTCTTTCCCTTTCCCTTTCCCTTTCTCGACAGAGCATTCTGGGCAGACTTTTCCGCAGCGAGCGAGCGAGCGCCGAGGCGCATTCCCTCTGCCAGGAGAAGCCCTTGGAACAGCTCGCCGGACTCCAGGGAGCGCTGTGTCGCCGCCCGCCGAGGGAGGGGAGCCGCAGGAAGAGAAGGCGGTAGCCCACCAGGCGCATCTGGACACGGGAGCCGAGGGCGCAGCCTTGCCTCGGTGCGGCTGATGGGCGCACTCCGGCCAGCAGCCAGCCACAGCCACAGCTCCGGGCTCCAGGTAAACCAAACTTGCCGGCTTCTTTGTGTGTCTGCTTGGCCGCCCGCCGGCGGAGGCAAAGGCACGGCCGCCCGATCTCTCGCGAATCAAATTCCCGCGGGTCGCTTTGGAAGGGTCCCGAGGGTTGACAGTCTCCGAGGAGGAGGAGGGCGGGGGCGCAGACGGGCAGGGAGCGCTAGAGGGCTCGAGGTGGGGGGGGGAAGGGAGGCGGAGGGGGGGGAATGTCCGGGGAATCGGGGCAGAGCAGCTGGCGGGGCTGAAGCAGCGGGGCCCGCGACGCAGCTTAGGGGCGACCTTGGGATAGCGCAGCAGCAGCGCTTCTCCGAAGGTTTTGCACGGGCTCCCTTCCTCTCGGAGGGCACCGGACCTCGGATCCCCCCCGCGGCGGTCTGCTCGCCCGCATGCCCGAGCCGGCTGCCCCCTGCAGGTCAAGGGCGGCCCAAGCCCGAGGCTTCCCCAACTGCAGCTCTAGCGGGCTGGACGTTTCTCTTAACTGGCGGACTGCAGCAGATCTCCCGATCCGGGATATCTAGATCCGGGAGATCTAGAGACGTCTTGCCTCCGATTCCCTCTTTGTTTAGTTCGGAGCCCGCGACTCCGGCTGGAAGTCGTGAGCGCCGAGCAAAACTGCCCCGGGTTTGGCCGCCCGGCGCCTTTCCCTTTCGGCGCTGCGTATTTCGTACGCCTGATGAAGGGGAGAGGCGTAGAAATGGGTCGGCAGCCCCGATTCGGTTCTGTTGTGAAGACCCAGACCCTATCTCGGTTGGGGAACAGTGAAGAAGGGGCTCTGGGAAAGCTAGTCGTTATTGGGTATTTTCCAGAGTTGGATCAGTTGCAAACCATGTTCACCTATTTGACCTCTACGAGGCAATTCTGCCATTTTTTATTTTTGGAAGGATTGGGTTTCTCAAATAGTAGACTGCTAATAAACAGGACCAGTTCTGGGACCTGGGCTCCATCCTGGATAGTAGAGTTTAGGTACAGGACTGCCCGGGATCTCAGTTGAACTCACTAATGATTTACTAACCCTGATTTTTTTGAAAGTCCAAAATCACTTATTTGGACTGAAGAAGGGTTAGGTGCTCCATGGTGATACATGGTGCAGTCAGCTGCCTTTGGGCGCCCTTTGATTCTGGCTACAAATTCAAGGTATTTCGGTTCTCAAACGCGGCCTTTCTCCTCATGGCGTCCTCAAGATGTGTGGGGCATCAACTCCCAGTCCACCTGCGCAAAGACCCTCTCAACATGCTCCTCTTGCCCAGAGAGAAAGTGGGGGCAGGATCCCGTTTTATCAAAGTTCTAGAGAAGTATTCCAAGAGTTTAGACAGAAACATGACTGTCTGTCTGTCTATCTACCATCAATCTTTGCAAGTTTCCCTTTCTTTTAAATTTTGAGCACAGAAAGAAGCATTGTGTGTAAGTGTATTGGGGCTCTGATCACCATTTAGCACTTTCTGTAGTGTTTGGGTTTCGTGTCATTTGGGCGCATAAAGGCGGGGGAAGATGGTGTGTAAAAAAAAAATCTCAAATATTCACGGGGGGGGGAGACTTCTGGGAATTTCACTTCGACAGTAATTGGTGCAATTACTGCATCTAGAGCTGGTTATTAGAACTGTCACAGTAGCTTGCTAACATCTTTTTTAAGCAAAGATTATTCAGGAAAATATTAAACAAAAGGTAGCCTCTGCAATACAAGAGGATAACTCTTGATTGAATGCCTGACTTCTTTTTCTTTTAAAGGGATGTGTAAATGCACATGAAATAGAACAGTGCTTACCTTGGGAGGTGTTTTAGAAAGTAAATTGGGTAGACACCAAGTGAAGGTGCATATATGTGTCACGTATAAGAAGGATGTGTTGTGCATCTCTTCAGTATACAGGTAATCCTTGACTTACAACCATTAATTAAGCCCCAAATGTTCCTAAGTGAGACATTTGTTAAGCGAGTTTTGCCCCATTTTATGACTTTTCTTGCCACAGTTGTTAAGTAAATCACTGCAATCAATAAGTTAGTAACCTGGCTCTGAAGTGAATCGGGCTTCACCATTTGCTTGTTGTAAGGTCGCAAAAGAGATCATGGGATCCCAGAACACTGCAACCCTCATTAATATGAACCAATTGCCAAATATCTAAATTTTGATCATGTGATCATGAAGATGTTGCAGTGGTGGTAAGTGTGAAAAACTTTTTTCATAAGTCACTTTTTTCAGTGCCGTTGCAACTTTGAACAGTCACTAAACGAACCACTGTAAGTCAAGGACCACCTGTATATGCACGTGATGGTATACAATAGCTACCTAGCAGGGCTCATACTAATTGTAGGAAAGACTTAACGTTTATTATTTCTACATCACAAGATCAACAAATGACAATACAACAAGGAGAAAAGAGCTTTACATCTTTATTAGGTTATCTAATATCCAGCCCAACATTTTTCTCTCTTAACGTTTCCCAGCCTTTCGACTAAGCTCAAGGATTGTTAACGAGAGTTGCTGAATAACAAGTAGTCCTCGACTTATGACCACAATTGAACCCAAAATTTCCATTGCTAAGTAAGACGGTTGTTAAGCAAGTTGCGCCTCAGTTTACGACCTTTCTCGACACCGTTTTTAAGGGAATCACTGCAACTATAAGATTAGTAACACGGTTATTAATTGAATCTGGCTTCCCCATTGACTTTGCTTGTCAGAAGGTTGCAGAAGGGGATCACATGATCCCGGGACACTGCAACCATCATAAATATGAGTCAGTTGCCGAGTAATCTGAATTTTGATCACGTGACCATGGAGATGCCACAATGAACGTAATTGTGAAAAATGGTTGTGAGTCACTTTTTTCCGTGCTGTTGTAACTTCAAATGGTCACTAAACGAACTGTTGTAAGTTGAGTACTACCTGTACAGCTTTCAGCATCCCTACAAAGCACGCGCAATACAGTAGTAAGGGATATTCAGAGGTGTAGTTCAGCAACATTCAGAGAACTCTTGAGTTGTCAACAGGATATGATAGCCTGTATTTCTTGGTGCTCTTCGGACTGACATTGCTGGGGTTACTTTACAAATCTCATTTGGTTTTGGACTGCTAGGGTGGGCCTTCCTGGTTGTTCTTTCTGAGGTGACGGAGCAGGTTACCATAGTGAGAATGTACTCTAGAAAGAGTGCAGAGAAGAGCAAGAAAGAGCAGTGATGTAAAAAAGACGCTGAGACTCTAGAAAGAGTACAGAGAAGAGCAACAAAGATGATTAGGGGACTGGAGGCTAAAGCATATAAGGAACGGTTGCTGGAATTGGGTATGTCTAGTTTAATGAAGAGAAGGACAAGGGGAGACATGATAGCAGTGTTCCAATATCTCAGGGGTTGCCACAAAGAAGAAGGAGTCAAGCTATTTTCCAAGGCGCCTGAAGGCAGGACAAGAAGCAACGGATGGAAACTAATCAAGGAGAGAAGCAACCTAGAACTAAGGAGAAACTTCCTGACAGTTAGAACAATTAGCCAATGGAACAACCTGCCCCCAGAAGCGGTGAATGCTCCAACATTGGAAGTTTTTAAGAAGAGACCAGACAGCCATTTGTCCGAAATGGTGTAGGGTTTCCTGCCTGAGCAGGGGGTTGGACTAGATGACCTCCAAGGTCCCTTCCAACTTTATTATTGTTATTATTTCAACCTTGTGTCAGGACAGTTGTAAGTCAAGCACACATGACCAACCTGATTTTATGAAATATTTTACAGTAGTCGTTTAGTGAACACTGCAGTGGTTAAATGAACCCATTGCCCTCAGTGGGCATTTTTTTTTTTTTTTTGCCAGAAATGAAAAATAAATGCTGGTTTCTAGCAAGAGCATCATCAATTGTGTGACTGTGGGACACCACAAACAGCTATAAATGCAGACTGGTTGCCAAGTGGCCAAAATGTGACCATGGGGGGAGGGAATGGTGGGCTGAACTTCAAATATGCCTCATAAATACCTTTTGGGAAGGTTCATCATAATTTCAAATAATTGCTAAGTGAGTGGTCATAAGTCAAGGACTACTGAATTGGTGTTTGTGATTCATGTCTAAAATATGACCTTTAAAAATGCATAAAAACATCACCTCCCCCCCCCCCGAAGGCAGATTGGCTTTGACCCTGCTAAGACATGGCTCTGCCATCATGCTTGATGTACGTCAATGGTGGGGAATTTTTACAATAGCTTTGTTGAGCTTGAAACAAGGATGGATTTGACTACTGATGAGTTATTGATGATTTGATATGCTTGTATATTGGTTTTTAACTTGTTCTTAATGGACTGTTGTTTTAAATGGTTGTGAGCTGCCCAAAACCACCTAGGTGAGATAGGAGGGGTAGGGGGGGCTGTATAAATGTACCATATATGCCGGCGTATAAGACGACTTCCAGAAGCGCTAAACTCAGCACCAAAGATGGGGGTCTTATACGCTGAGTCATCTTATACGCCGGAAATACTGGTAGTTTCCGGCGTATAAGTCGACGTTCTAGGAAGGTGACTCGGCGATAAAGACGGGGGTCGTCTTATACGCCGGGTCGCCTAATACGCCGGCATATACGGTAATTAAAAAAAATGTTCAATAGTACAAATAATAGGAGGCAAGGACGGAGGCATTTAATTCCTCACCCATGGTGCCAAAACACCCTGTAAATAGACTACCTGAAGCGTTTGAAGGTTTACTAAAAACTTTGGTTCCTAAAACGGACCGGCAATTTTTACTGTAAATGCGCCTAAAATAAGCGATTGTTTTTTTTATTGCTGTGCATTTACAGAAAAAAAAAAGATTGCATTTTTCTGCTTTTCTTTCCTTGTTTCTGAAAGCAACTGCTTGGGTAGATTTAAAGAGAAGCTTGTTTGTACAAGTGACTGTAAGAGTATGAAATTATTGAGGGGTAAAGTTGTTTTGGATGACTATTTTCTTAAGAGTTCAGGGGTGGGTGATCTCTAATTCCTAGAAAATAGATTCTCAGGAGAACGAAAGTGAAGCCAGGAAAATATT